TGGACAGAGTGCGCTCAGGGGCTTCCCTGTCAAAGGACAGAGGGGCAACTGAGGAAAATTATACCGAAGAGGTGCCCAGTCCTGGGGAACAGCTGCCCGAGGCCGCACCCTCCCATTGCACCAGAGGGAGGGATCGGTGCTCGCACCGAGGCCAGCGCAACCGATGGTTGTGGGGGATGAGGGGAATTTTTGACCCTTGCTCGGGTGCACGCGCTCGGGTCCCCACATTAATCCGACCTTGTGTCACATCTCATTCTCGTGGGGGAATGAGTAAACACCGCCTAGGTTAAAGATAGGACTAGTGAAGACCAGCCGTCCCCATTCCCATGTGTGGCCCTGTGCTACATTTTCTCTGTGTTTATGAAAATATTTTTTTTTCTCATTTTACACTACGGGACTTTTCAGTGCCCAGCCAACTACAGCATGCAAACAACTTACTCGACTATACAAAGGCATATTTAATAATACGTTTAAAATAATATGCCAAACTAACAAATGAATAATTCTTTTCAAATATGTCTCTCCCAACCTTTCATTGGAACTTCACACACATATACGTAGGAAAAGCGACATCTCTCCCTAGACACCTTCGATACCCTTGTTTCGCTATTTTTCACGTCGGATACACAAGTTACTGGGGTGCTATGTAAAAAAGGAATATTCCCCCGTTTTATTTTCCCCATTATGGGCATTATTATATCCATGATATAACACCTTAATACACGGACAGAATAGAATAGATGAAAGAAAAAGAATGACAAACGTTTTTTGCTTTCAAAGAGATTTTTTGTAGTATAAAAATCTCTAAGTCATGCACAAAAGTATATTTACTTTTGTCTCGCGCAGAGAAATTCTAACACATGTATACAAAAACAAGTAGTGTGAAAATAATACATAATAGCCACATATTTATCTATACTAAAAATATCCATGAAAATTTTAGGGTCTTCCTATTTTTCATTTTCTGATGAATCTTAATTCTTATGTTAATGATTTCATAAGCTCCTTTCCATTTCCATGATTCTGTACACATGGAAATTTCCCTATTGCCTCGTTAAATATTTGAGCTTAATAATTTTGACAAAACATTCCAATAACTATTAAAAATATAAATGCTGGTCATTATTTAAAGAAATAAGAAGGTACAGATGAAAAGGATTAAAAATTGACAACATTTTCCATTTCATTGAAGCTGACGTGAAGCACATGAGTATTTTTACCTCTTCTTTCTTTTTCCTAAAACAAAACAGAGCCTTTGGTATATCTTTGCTTCCATCAATTCTTGCAATCAAACAGGTATGGTCCATTGTTTATCTGATGTAATGGCAATACATAACATACATGCTAATGAACTAACTCAGGAATAACATGATTGTATTATATATAATTATATTATTATTATAAATCTAATATGTTTTATTTGTTTGTTTTTTTTTTAATTTTAAAAGCACATTTATTCTTTTCTACAGTGCATATTTTTTTTAATGAGATCCATAGACATATTTTGCATATAAGAATTATATAAAGGTTTTAGAAATATTGTTTCCAGGGTTGGGGTGAATGGAAAATGAAGTTTTCTGATTTATTTTGAAAATTAATGGCAGTTGTGATTTTTAGGTAAATGGCTCAATAGAATAGTCATAAATTGAAGAGGACGAATCTATTCTTTGTTTAATTCACAGTTTCAGCAAAATAGGAGAAAGCCTCCTGGTCTCCCTCTAAGGCACCATAGATGTCATATCAGCAAAAGAGTATATCAACAAATATTACTATCATATCCCATCGCTAAATATTCCTCAGCAGACTCTGTTGGGTGTTTTCTTTTTAGAAAATGTTTGTTTCATTGTAGAAGATGGAATGCATGGTTGTTAACAAAAGGAACAGCTCAACATGCAAATTACAAATTGGAGATGTCAAAAATTTAAATATCTGGGAAGTGTTTTAAAAGAGTATGGAAAGTGTGACATTGAAATCTGAAGGGACATTGGGATAGATGACTTCCAAAAGCTAAGAGCAACATTAAGAAACAGAAAAATTTTGTTAGAAACAAAGAAAAGGGGACTGAACTGTTACATATTATCACTCCTCCTACATAGCAGCGAATGCTAAACAATCTCCTCACAGATGAAGAGACTTGAAGAAACAGAATTGTGGTTCTACAGAAGGATGCTGAAAATACCATGGACAGAAAATGTGAGCAACAACAAAATTTTAAAGAAAACAAAAACAAAAAGGACACTTATGCTTAGAATCAGAAAGAGAGAGTTGAAATTTTTAGGACACATAAAGAGGAAAGAGGGCTTGGAAAATCTGATACAGGAGTGATCCAAGGCAAGGGGGGGGCAGAGGAAGAACAACACATAACCTACCTAGTAACCTTGAGTAAATAGATGACAGAATAAGGTTTAGGAGAGATAATAAAAAGACTATTCATTAAGAGCTACAAAGGAGAGGAAATCGTGAAGAGCCATGATCGTTCTTTAATGGACACGGTACATAGAAGTTTCATTGCAATTGCAGATTTGTTCTGGATCATGTCCTTTCTTATCAATTAACTTCAACTCTGTTTGACATATAACAGCAGTTTATTTATCAGCAGACACAGCTTCTCCAATAATTGAAGAAAAAAACTATTCCGAAATCTGAATATTACAGATAAACGGTTTAGTGTCAGTATAGTAGGATATTTACAGCCAAAACTTTCATATCAGTACAATGCTTATTGATGCAACACATTGCTGTCAGTTGTAACACGTTTTCTGTTCATGTCTTCCACCCACGAGTTTAATGATTTTTTCCTTTACACTTTCCATGTACTGTATCGCCATAACTTTAGCTGTATGAAGCAAAACACCTTCACAGACCTGTATTTCTCTTCTAAATACTTTCACAAATTGAACATTCATTATTACCATTGTTGGGTTAACTTTCCTCCCTCTTCCCGAGTTAATATGTTACACATAAATAGCCAGCCAGTGAAACTCGGTCTTTACAAGGAAGTCATTTAGTAGATGATAAAAATAAGATGTGGCCCTACACTAATAGACTCAGCCTCTGTTAAGATGATGTGCCAAAGACAGTGTTTGTAACATCCACAAGTGTTCCTTTTCAGGGTTGGAGAGAATGCATTCATAACACATTTCTATACTTTGTTAACATGTTCTCTTTCTAGCAAATAAAACTTCATTTGTATTCTTTGATCTTTTCCCAAGCTGTCTAATAGACTAAGCCTTTGTTAAGATGATGTGCCAAACTTGTGAGTAAAGACAGTGTTTGTAACATCCACAAGTGTTCCATTTCAGGGTCGGAGAGAGGCATTCATAACACATTTCTATACTTTGTTAGCATGTTCACTTTCTAGAAAATAAAACTTCATTTGCATTCTTTGATCTTTTCCCAAGCCGTCTTTATTATTTCTTATTTATTAGAATAAATTATATTTTTTATAATTGCTTCCAATGGCCAGATACGGCCCACATAAATCCAACACCATAATTTATGGCTACTTATGCTTTATTTTTTTTTAATTATTGTACCACAAACTTTTAAATTTTGATAAAAGGAAACACTTTACAGCTTCTCTTTGGTCTACCATAATTGTCTGTACCTCTAACTTTTCCCCTTGATATCAGTAATAAGATATCCTCCGTTGTTCAGTTTATATTAATGGTAATAGCAATATTAACTGTTTCCTTACACGGAAACATTTGGCATTTCTTGACCAAGCAGCCTGTACTGGTTTTGGTTGAAATTTATAAAATCTTTCTGTTAAAACGATTTTTCAGGAAAATAGTTTTAAAAAGTTTACTGGCTGGTATTGCTCTTAACAGTACTAATGGGGGTTCCCTTCCTAATGTTTTATTTGAAGTAGTGTGGAATGTCGACATCTTGAAAGGCAAAAACTAGTACTACAATCCTGTGACTGATATTTCAGGCTGACTGTTATTTTGCTCTATTCCATAAGCCCATTATTTACATTATTCGGACTATTGTACTCATACGCCATATTTATCACAACGTTTCAGCCGTTGTACGCTCCGGCCTTCTTCAGGTGGTTGGAATTTCGAACTGAACCCTTTATTTCGCTCACTGGGGTAGACTGTTCTCGTTCCACGTACCATGTTTGATAGATGTCAGTTATCAGTTATTTCCTGCTAATTTCCCTCTGAAAGTTCTCCACTGCCTTAACCGGGCATTGAACTCATGCTCTTTGGGTCCTTGTCACTGGATCTAACCAACGCCTTTATCCACTGTGCCATGTGTCCTTGAGGAAATAAAGGGTTCATTTCGAAATTCCAACCACCTGAAGAAGACCGGAGTGTACAACGGCCGAAACGTTGTGATAAATATGGCGACAAAGATGAGGACAATAGTCCGAATAATGTAAATAATGTACATAATACCTCATCTCAGAAATATAGACAGAGCCCATAGGCCCATGTAATGGTGTTGGGGAAGGAACTCCTCCATTAAAAATATATCTACCTGACATGGAGCAAACCAGCTGTAAAAATGAAATGAATTTAACAATAGTTACTCAATGAATGAAAAATTTTATTAATTTGAGATTTCACCCTCAGGATCTGATGTTTGATGGCTTGATGGACATTAAATTTTTATTATTTTTAAATTTTCAAAATGCTGTTATCATTAAAATAAGTATGTTATGTCTTTTTAATTTATATTTTACTACTTTGAAATATATTTTGCAAAGTTGTTTTAAATCTATTTTAAAGCGATACTGGGATGAAAATCGCCATCTGTTGAAAGAGTAAAGTAGGATATTTTCGTATGGGTGCATGTGACTCCTAAAATGTTGTATTCCAGATGCATGGATTCAAGTTTTATATTATTTATTTATTGTTCTATTACTCACAGATTAACAGATGACAGAATTCCAGCTAACAAGGAAAGAAAACTAGATTTTTTAAACCCAGCTACAGACTACTACCCAAAGATGGTGACGAAAACCGGCTTAGAGGTCAGTAGGAAGAGAACAAATGAAGCAGCACCAATGGAAAAGATTACAGGTAAAGTTTCTTTAAGAAAAAAGATCAACCACTTATATAAGGTCAGTCAGTTAAATGCCATATGTGATACATACCTGGGCGATCATGTCTCTTTTGATTCATGACTGACTAGGTAGAAGATTTTCCTGCAGTAGGCTGCCATTTCTTTCAGCAGTAGACTGGTTGCCAACCAAGTTTATAGGATTCAGTTATAGGATTCAGTCTATATGGCCATAACTTTAGCTGTATGAAGCAAAACACCTTCACTGACTTGTATTTCTCTTCTAAGTACTTTCACGGACAGAATATTCATTATTACCATTGTTGGGTTAACTTTCCTCCCGAGTTAATATGTTACACATAAATAGCCAGCCAGTGAAACTCGGTCTTTACAAGGAAGTCATTTAGTAGATGATAAAAATAAGATGTGGCCCTACACTAATAGACTCAGCCTCTGTCAAGATGATGTGCCAGACTTGTGAGTAAAGACAGCTTTTGTAACATCCACAAGTGTTCCTTTTCAGGGTCATAGAGAAGGCATGTAACATATTTCTATATTTTGTTTGCACATACTCTTTCTAGAAAATAAAAACTTCATTTGTATTCTTTGATCTTTTCCCGAGCTGTCTTTATTGTTTTTTATTTATTAGGGTAAATTATATTTTTATAATTGCTTTCGGTGGCCATAGATGGGAGGGGAAAAGTGAATTCATAACTCTTCAAGAATATTTGCATATAAGTGAATATAATGAACCTGACCAGAATTCGAACTCGCCTCTCCGATTTCTCATTCTGAGCTGATACACAATACTCTGAGACACTATAATACTCATAAGGTACTCATTGTAAATTAAAAGGGTAAAAGTTTTATATTTTTTATATACTATTGTTTACCTAATGCAAGGCCTAAAAGTCACTCAAAACAGCAGCTTACTAAATGAGATTGTTGTAAAAGTGAAAAGGGAGGTGGAATAGGTGCATATTGTGAAGATATGTAGGATAAGTAACAGTTGTCACTAGACTTGAAGATGTTAAGATTGTAATACTTGAAGAATCATTCTCTCAGGAGCCTATTCTAAAAAGTAACAGTTTCCTAGATGTGAAGGTCTGAACTGGTGGAACTAAAGAATGGAGCTCATCTGAGCAGTTATCATTATTTAGTAACCTTAGGAAAGACAGGTGAGCAGTGTTTTCAAAACATTTTTCTTCACGTTTCACAATGGTATCAGTTATGTGCCATACATGCTAAGGCGATCATGTATCTTTTGATACATGACTGACAAAACAGATTATTTCCTGCAGTCGGCTGTCATTTCTTTCCATGGTAGACCAGTTGCCATCCAAGAACCTGGTTTATCCTGCTATTTACCCATAGCTGCAGGGAGAAGAAGAGGATTCATACCTTTCCCAAGGGTATTAGTACATAAGTGAACGTAATGTATTTGACTGGAATTCAAACTTGGCTCTCTGATTCCTCAATCCAAGCTGCTATCTGTTATTCCACATGCCTCCCCCTTCTCACAATGGTATACAGTTGAGAATTAAATATTGTTATTTGAAATATTTCTGTGGATTTGTTTTTTGTATTTTTTAATACAAAAATTATTAAATTATTTTTTTGTATGTTTTAATACAAAAATTTAAAGATTTAAGCATTACAAGTATTAATGTTAAATTTAACCTGCGTGCACAGGTCCACTTTTATGAACTCTTGTAATATTTGTATATAGATATTTTATTGCACAATTGTCTTTTTGCATGATTATATTTTTTGTTCATTCAGCCAACTATCTCAGCTTATGCTAGTTAAGAATTGTTGGGCGGAATATTCCTTCACTAATCTTAACTTAACCATTCAGCTTAGCTTATCACAGTACAAGCATACAAGTGCAGGGCACTCAGTGAGGATTGCTCTCACTACGGTAGTAATGGTCCCCTGAGATGATCATGTGAATCATTACCACACAAGCACTTTAGGCATTTACTTAACCTTAGCTAAGTGTAGTACATGGCTACGCAGGAGCCTGTTTATTTTTATCCCGACCTCCGTTTTCTTGTTTAATTTCACTTCCCTTCCCCACTTAGGTGACAGAGATGTTTCATCATTTCATGTGTGTTTTTGTATTTGTTGTTGCATTTGGATGAGGGTGGTGATTGTGTGAGTGTTTGCTTGAGTGACTCAATCATTATCTAGTCGAACACTATTTTTGTCTTGTTAACTGATATTTCTGTAGCAGTTAGGATTGTGAGGTGGGTGTTTATATTACTCACTTGGTTTTTTTTTATCTTTAGTTTCTTTGAATATATTTATGAACATTATAAATACTCATTGAGGCATAAATTTGTTGTTAACATCATTACCCACCTCCCTCAACAATTGGAAATATAGACTTCATAGAGAATTTGACGTGTTTGGCAGAGGAGAGACATATTCAACATTTGATAATTTTGCAGCAATATACACTCAAAGGTTTCAGGCAGTTTTGATCAACATTTCATGGTTAGTCATAAGGAATTGTAAATATAGGACTACCTAACACTTAAGTAAAATAATAACAATAATAATATTAAGAATTTATTACAGGAAATATAAAGTTTTACGGAAACATTTTTGACAACTATGTATTTAGTTACACAACAAATAAATACAAATAATATAAATTTTGATGCTGTATTTGATTTGTTGTTAGGTATTTTTCATTTTCTCCTTTATTATTGGCAGTATTTTAGAATAATTTGGCTGCAATGCTAAGTTTCCTCAGTTGAACAAACTGGAACTATTTTGTTTACGTTTTGTTACCTCTCTTTTCCATTGTTGTTTTAAATTGCTTTCTTTCAGTCATTTTGATAGGCAATAGCAAAATTCTGAAATTTAGAATGATCTTATTCCATTTAAAAAATAAAGCCTGTTAAAAGAAATATTTTGAATTAATATACGACCAAAGGTAAAATGCTTTTGACAAAAATCCTTAATGATTTCACTATAATTGTATGACAATAATGTAATGATATTCCACAGACAAATCTACAGTTTATGTTACTTCATCTCATTGCATGGTTACGAACTATAAACCTAAACTGAGCTTGACATATCATGTAATTGGCTTTTAGGTTTTGTAAAATACTTGGATATGATATAATGAATAATTTGCTGAGAAAAAAGTAACTTTTCATTTTTTTTTTTTTTTTTGTTGATTATGCCCCTCCTCTGCCAAACAAATCATTTGTGGTATTCTGGTGTCTCTAGTAAAAATATGATGTTTTGGTGCAGAGAATGTTATTGGATGATTGGGTTACTGATTCTGGTTATCTCGGGTAACTGTTGGGACAGATGATGTCCAGCCTCGACTGTTTGCCTTTTTTTTGTCATTTCACCCAAAAGCAAGGCAATAAAGCCACTAAGATGCAAGGGGGTGATTGAGTATTAGAGAATATGAAAAAGAAAAAATATTAAGAAGAGAAAGTGGTAAAGGAACAAGAATAAGAAGACTGTAGATAACAACTTACATTGTATATAAATATTTTAAGATCAAAGTTAACTGGGAAGCAAGAATCTGGAAGAGAGTTCCTCAAGCAAGAAGAGCAATAGAAGAAACTTTTAGCATAGAAGTTATAGTTACATCTAGCAGCCATTTCAAGTGTAAAATGATGAGACCTTGCTGTCAATCAAGTACACCACTTGAATTCATAAAGTTTAGATACCATAAATGAAAGTAATATTTTTTAGAGGAAAGTTCTTCAGAACAATTACCATGAAAGTATTTATAAAAAAACACAGGGAAGTTACATTTGGAACATATTTTATGTAATTACATAAATATTTAAATGTTGAGGCTTCCAGTAAGAACCAAATTTAGAGTAGTAATGGTTTGTGAAGTTAAATTGCAAGCCATTGTTCCACAGTGAGCTGACTTTTACTATTCACTAAATTTGGTGATTATTGGACAAAATGTTCAGAATAAATGCTATATAGTGGTGAAAGAATAATTATTGTTTATATCAGTAAATGCAATAAACTAAGTCAGGTTAGGGAAGGTCAGCATTTCTCCCTTTCCCCAGTTTTTGGCTGTGTTCACCCCAACCACTTTTTCAATATCAAAATATATGTAACAAGCCTGCTGCCATGCTGCACATGTTTGCTTTTTCTGTTCAGTAAGTGCACAAGTTTCTTCCACTCTTCGCATTATAAACTCTTTCAAAAATATATAAACTGTCAACTGTGTATAATTGCTTTCTCAGATCAATGGCTAAAAGTGGCTGCAATCTCCCTACATTAAAATTCCACCTATCAAATCATTGTTAGTCTAAATAAATCCTTTCTTGAAATGAAAGATATCACTAAAAAGTTTTCCCATTTTGTAATTTATTTACTTACTTACCATATATATATATATATATATATATATATATATATATATATATATATATATATATATATATATATATATATATATATAATGGATGAGTGGTTAAAATTTTCACTTTCTGACCAAGAGACCCAGGTTCGAATCTCACTATGAAGGAGACTTCCTGATGTTATCCGAATGGATTGAGGTTAATGCCAGCATGTGGCACCTTTGGAAAATGCCTGAAAAACCATACCACCGGTTGACCCAAGCCTTATGAGTGAAATTCGGTAAACGGAACTCTTGAGGGCCATTGAAAGCTGTGCCAGCACAAAGTCAGAAGTCATCATGGCTGAGGGCTTGAGCATGCTGGCCTTGTTCAAATTGTTGATCACACTAGATAACATGCTCTTTCCAAGAAGCTGTAACTAATGTCTGCTCAACATAGTTGCAGTATGAACTACAGGTGGGCTCTGTGGGTGTTGAGCAAACAGAAATGTGCCTGAGTGACTGTCTGCAATAGGAATTGGCTAGCCGCTCTAGTAAACAGGTATCCTAGAATATGAGTGACCAGCTATTATATATACAATAACAACACACAGTGAGTGCTGGTAATAATAAATCAGTGCTTGATGTACAATAACAGACCTGGAATTTATATTAATAATAAATATATATTTGTTCCTCACCATTTGGTGCAATTCTCATGGCAATCATCAGGCACATCATGAAAAGTGACCATTGTAACATTTCAGTATTTATAACATACTTTTAAAATAGTGGAGCAGTCTGTTTACATATGAAAAAAATAAATTGGTAAAAATGAATTTAATACAAAAATCAAATAGATTACAAATATATATATATATATATATATATATATATAGTAATCTACAGACAGATTGCTTTGCTGTATCACAGCTTCTTAGTGTGGCTCGATGTCAAACTGTTTCAAGCTGGGATCGAAACACAACTGATTTGACATCAGTCAGATATCTTACATCTAGGCCATCCATCATTGCAGGAAAGGAATTTTAATGTCTTATATGTCAATATGTCATATATATATATATATATATATATATATATATATATATATATATATATATATATATATATATATAAAAGGATAATGGTCAGAGTTAAATCAGACCAGGAAAAGTGGTATTAAAAAGTGCTCAATACGCGTGTGAAAAAAAATAAAATAAAAGTAAAAATAACATATAGAGCTTTTAACTTTAAAAATCAGGAGATCAGTTGAAACTGCTAGTTTGGTTTCAATCTTATAGTATCCTCAGTCAATTTTTATCAAATGACCTCTTAATGCTTTATTTTTAAAAAAAACAGCTAATGAATCCTATATTATTATTATTATTATTATTAGAACTTAGGTTGAAACCAAGGTAATGGATTCAACAGATCTGATTTTTAAAATATATAATATGTGTGTGCGTGTGTGTGTGTGTATAAAAGGTTTGTAACTTACCTTCAGCATCCTGACCCCAGAGTTTTGTAGAAGGACCTGTCCATCCATACGTCAGAGGTATCAGCAATTCACTGTTTATACTTCTTGATTTTTCTTTTTTATATTCACTTATCCTAGGTGCAAACTTTTTTGTCTTTTTCATACTGCATATATATATATATATATATATATATATATATATATATATATAAACATTATTTTGTTGTTATCACAATACTTTGGTCAATCTACTCTATGACTTTTTCAGGTGTATGATCCATATGGAAAGAACAATTGTTTTTCTTTCTGCATCATCCAGGAGTATATATATGCTTCAAAACTCCAATCATCCAGTGAGAATATTCTCCAAGAACCTCCCAAGCTGATGCCTGAAACTGTGGATAGTGCCAAACTCTGTATATACTGTTTCTTCCTTCACATGAGATGGTGTTATAATAGAATTATAATATTTTGGATGCAAGGGTGGAAATAATTTGGAATAATACAGTATTTTTTATGAACAGATATATTTGTCAAATTAATAATTAGCTCATATACACCTTAACTATAAATTCTTTTTTCTCTTCTGAATGAATTTAAAAAAAAAAAAAAGAATACTGAATTTTCTTCTTCAAAAAGGAATTTAAAAGGGTAAATTTCTATTTTGTTTCCCAAGCACTAATTTCAAATTTTTCCAAAAAAGTCTTATTTCCATGCAAATGTACATGCTGAACTCAAATCAACAATTAGATCATGAAGAAACCTAACTTTTGGGATGTAAAAGACCAGAAAAAAATCGGACTTCTTCTCGGTCTTTCATCAGCCATTACTGGCTTATTAAGAAGTAATTCACTGCCGAAAGATTTTTGGCGGAGTCATAAAATTTGGGCCTATTTACTTCTTTTACAGACTTTCCTTGCAGAAAATCACTACACTCTACCGTAAAGAAATGTAAATTTTTTTTTTTGGTAAGTTTAGTTTTATTTAAAACAAAAACAAATTAAATAATACAATAGAACCTTTTTTCCATTTCAAATAGCAATGACAAATTAAAAGAACAAATTAAATAATAAAAATAAAGCATTTTCTTAGTTTCTATATTAAAATTGAAAATAAAAAAAAATTAATGCACAAACTTGTATTATTTAATTCGTTTTTGTTATAAATAAAACTAAACTTACCCAAAAAAAAAAAAAAATTTTACATTTCTTTACGGTAGTGCATTAGTGATTTTCTGCAAGGAAAGTCTGTAAAAGAAGTAAATAGGCCCAAATTTTATGACTGTCAAAAATCTTTCGGCAGAGAAGGAGGATTCATGATGGCAGTAATGGGGGACAAATGACCAACAAGAAGTATGATTTAAGGTTTCTTCATAATTCAATTGTTAATTCGAGTTCAGCATGTACATTTGCACAGAATTATGACGATTTTGGAAAAATTTGAAGGGATATTATTGCTCGAGAAACAAAATAGAAATTTACCTTTAAAAGTATTTAAAATTAAACCTTTAACTGTAGGTCTCAGATCAATATATTTCCAACTGAAGACTTTTATGAATGAATATGTCAATAATTTGAGAATCATTCATGTACTTAATGTATCCATAGGTATCTATTGATGAATATTGAAATATATGCACCTATCTATGAAAAAGTTTGATTTATAAATTAGGCAGGATAAGAGATTTTTATATTCTTCCTATTTAGTATTTACTTTGTCTAAGGTAATAAAAATGTTGTTAATTGTACAATATTGTAATTTCTTTCCCATGCATCCACAATATTATAATAAACTATTATGATGAATCCATTCACTAAATTATCTTTCTCTATCACTACGAATTGCCATATAAAATGATAACTCAACTACAAAACAAAACAGTAACAGAACAAATTCAAATACTGAATTTCATAAACAAATCTCTCAAGTAAAAATTTGACTGATGATGAAAATAACTTTTTTTGACTCAATATAAAAATTCTTCTCAGTAATATAATTATTTGCTGCTCAAGTGAAAATGTTATTGGTAATATGTGAAGGATTTAATAAAAAGTTTATGTTTTTTTTTATATTTTTTTCTTAATAATTCTTTAAATAAGACTTAGGTTTGTTTGTATAATTATTTACATAGGACTTAAGGCTTTTTTTCCTATAATTTTTTAAATAAAACCTAGAAATATTTTTTATTTGTATAATTCTTGCAATAGAAGTGAGAGTTTTCTTCTTTATGTTAAAATAGGATTTAGGGTTTTTTCTTTCTTTTCATATAATACTTGAAATAAAAATTAGGGCCTTTTTCTAAAATTCTTGAAAGGACTTGTATAATTCTTGAAAGAACTTAGGGATATTTTTTCTTTATTTATAATTCTTTAGATAAAACTAAGGGCTTTTAGTATATTACTTGAAATAGGACATAGGAATTTTTTGTATAATTCTTGAAATAGGACATAGGTCTTTTTAGTACAATTCTTTAAATAGGTCTTAGGATTTTTCCCAATAATTAATTATTTAAATAGAACTTATAGCTATTTCTTATAATTATTTAAATAAGACATAGGGTTTTTTCTTTCTTTTTGTATTATTCTTTAAATAGGGTTTAAGACTTTTTTCCTTACCAAACTGAATCTATTTAAAAGTCTAAAAATAGAAAACAGGTTTGTATCATTATTTTCCATCTAGGTTTAAATTTAAGCTGAAGTTGACTCCCTGATAGAGTGGAAGGAAGTTTCCCCTTGCACTGCAAACTTAGAGTGATCTTGCTGCCACCACCTATGACTAGTCTCACTACCCCATCCCTCACCCAAAACAAAAAATACTTTTTCAATTCTACTTTAATCTTGTTCTAAAAAAATCCCAATTTCTAACTTCTACAAAATTCTTCTTCTCGATATACACTGCTAAATTTAATATGGGGAAAACTGCCAAGATAATTTTGTTAGCCAATCAAATTCATTTAAATATTATTTTTATTTTTGTTACATTATTCACTTCAATTTGATATCTTCTGTAAACTGAGGAGAATGAACAATGTTACCAATAGAAAATGGGTATTTTTAAAACATTTCTCAATATTTTGCAATGATCCTCTCAGTGTAACATTCATAAAAATAAAGAAAATAATTGAGATATGCCATCAGTTTGTTGTTAGAAAATAGGACTAAAACATCTGACGGCTTTACTTGTATAACTTTTGGATTATCACGTTTTTGTTTTTATTTTTATAGAGAAAATTTAAAAAGAATCTGCAAGATTTGTTATGAATTTCAGGTTAATTTTATTTTATTTTATTATTGCTGCATGGACCCAACAGTATAAAACTATCCATATTTCTAAAATAAAACCCAGACTTTTCTCTAATTTTTTTCTTATTTACATTTATTTTATATGCAGTAATAAATCTAATAGCCTTTTTAAGGTGAAACATTGATTAATTTTTGACTATGCTTTGTCATATTTTTATTGCTTGTTTACACATACTAGTAGTAGTAGTAGTAATAATAATAGTAATAATAATAATAATAATAATAATTATTATTATTATTATTATTATTATTATTATTTATCTGTCCTGGGTATGTTGATAAACTACGTCTAGCAGCAAGACCTCTGATCAGTGGGGTTTGAGGCGTGTGGAACCACCCCTTAATTGCTCGTGTTCCCATCTTCACCCTGACCCGGGGTGATAGCACCTGTTAGGGTCCCAGCTATAAGCAAATAGTTAACTATTACTAGCAATACATTTTTGAAAAAAAAAATTATTACCAGCAATACATTTTTGAAGGAAAAATATTACCAGAAATAGATTTTTGACAAAACAAAATATTACCGGCAATAAAAAATTTTGTCGGCATTAAATAACCCATTGAGGTTGATATGCCATAAACAAAACAAACCAAACTATAGCATTTACAAGTTGCTTAAATTTCTTCAACAAAGTTAATCAATATTATCCCATATGTGATATATGCTTGGATGATCATGTCTCTTTCGATTCATGACTGAATATGCAGAAGATTTTGCCACAGTAGTTTTGTATCTGTACTGATATGCGTTTGCCACAATTCCCCCAATCTCCTGATCACAGATATGACAGCTTGGAGCAGGTCTCTTTCATTAAGTGCTTCTCTGAATTGGGATTGGTTCATGTTTCTCCACCTCATCTCTATCTGATTCTTTCTCTATGTGACCATGTGGCCTGTCCATGCTAACAAGGATTTCATCCTCACTGTCGGACATATCTTCACTACTTGTTGAAGATCATGAACTCAGAGAAGGATGAAGGTCCATGACATGGTGAGGCATTCCATCCACTAAGAGTGATTGCAGACTAACAAGTCCAGTAATTCATTCCTTTCTGAAAGTTGTTTTAAACTGGTTGTGCGGAGCCTTTACCCACATATGGTCTTCCACCTTGTAGACATTGTGGCCCACATAATACATCATTGGAGGTACTGAATCAATCCCTTTAAGCTGAGCCTCATATCTGTAGACTTGATTTGTGGGCACAGTCAATGTTGAGGTGTCATCTGTTGGGGGTTACATTCTACCAGTAGGTAGCCTCTTCAATGCTACATATCATCTTGGTTGCAATCCTCTGGGCACTTCTGTGACACCACACTGTTATTCCATTTCCTGTGAGGACATGCACACACTGGAATCACAAATACACATCCCATTCATGAGCAAAGACCCGGAACTCCCAGTAGTGAGTGATATCCATGCCGAGCTGGTGCCAAGTACTGTTCACTGGATCTCATGGTGTCAAGGGAAGCAGTACTTAATTGTTGCACAGGATCAGTCCTTTTTTGGTCCTATCAAGCCACCTTTGGAATATACGGGTCATCTTGTCTACCAAGTTCTTGTTTGATGCAACCAGCATCTTATCGACATACAACTTATATTCTTGGACCAGTTCCAAGATTGTGCTCAACCTTCTAAGCACCAGCATCTTGCACACTGCTTTTTTCAGCACCACTTCTGTCACTAGGAAGCTTGCATTAATTGAAATGTTGACTTCAGATCCGTTTAAACACAGGTCGCCCTGAGCAGGATCTTTCTGTCAGACTCTGTCCATGGTTTCCTTCACCTTCTGTTTGAGCGGCATGTTATCAACTTGTTCATCCCATCCTTTTGTGACTGCATTTGCCCACTGTTTGATGAACCTGGTCACTATACACAGCCAACCACACACAAAATGTTCCACCAGCTTTCTGCATAGTGAGAAAACATTCCACCAAGTCATAACATCAGAAAGATTTGGGATCACACTTCCCCACATCCACTGTAGAGTGTTACACTCCTCCCAGACTTTCAGTCCAAGTGAGACCCATCTTTCAAATGTTCTGGGTCCTTGCACACCATCCCGTACTTGGCCAATTTTGTACTGACATGTTCTGCAGACATGATGCTCTCAATGTCATACACATTGTCAACATATGCTGATATTGCTCTTCAACTGACTTCTCCTGTGACCACACAGTGCCAATAATGGACTTCTTGACTAGAGGTGCCACTTTGAGGCCGGATCCCAACTGCGTTAGGCAAAACCATTTGCCCTTGATCATTATGGTTTGATATAGCCACAGTGACTCATGTATGTATACATGAAGCTACACTTTTCACAAGTCAAGTATGGCCACATTTCACCCTTGTAGTTGCTACTCTCACAGTTTGGCCAAGCATAAACATCCACATTTGCAGTGAATGCATCAACATGTTTGTTGAGCTCATGATAGTGTTTACTGGGTACACCTTTCCTTTGATGTGCTGCACAATGGCGATTAATGTCACTAAACCTTTGGATGGGCCTATTTTCTTTTGGGGGTATGCCAAACCATTGGTGATCCATGTCTAGAGTTCTCATTCATAGGCATCCCTTATGTTCTTTGAAATGGGGTACTCCATCACTTTGTTGTGTAACTGAGACAACTCACACCTGCTGTACATTTCTATTTTGCAGTCCATATCTTTTGCTGGTGGTTGAATTCTACAGAAAATCAGGTTGGTCAATATGGATCGCCGCACATGTTAGGGTTTCTTTGCTGCAGAACAGTATATCTTCAGTCTGCATGATATGGATGCCGCCTAATACAGTTATCACATCTATTCTGAGAATTAAGTCAAAGCCTAGAGGTTTATCATGCACCACAATGACATCAACCTTGGCCAAGTTGGCACTGTGCAGATGTTAATGGTCCTGATGCCACAACGTGCCCGCATTTTGTCACCGATCATCTCTACATCTAAAGTGCTTTCCAGTCCACAACCGGTATCACTCTGCACTAACGATTGACCAAGAGCAGCCAGTCAATGAGAGCTGAACAACATTCCCCATCATTGACTACAGGCAGCACCACATTTATATATATAGGTGAGGAATGAGACTAGTGCTCATTGTCCCCCTGATCTGTTTCCCCAAACATTTCCATGATATATGGCCCAGGTTGTCACAGCGATAGCACCATATGGCTTTCTCCTCACTGGCTACCACTTTGCCCAGTTCATCAACGAAAACAATATCTAGCCGAGTGAGTAGCACTACCACATCTGTGGCAGACAATATCACTCTGTATATTAGCTTCTTTATGCTTTTCTTTTTTTATTTCACCACTTTAGGGGGAGAGAAATTTGAGGCAACAGAAATGTATTTCAACAGAAGGCTGCTGAGAATGTCATCGACTGGATACGTGAGCAATGACAAAGTTTTAGAGAAAATGGAAACAAAAAGAACACTTATACATAGAATCAGAAAGAGACAATTGAAATTTCTAAGGCACATAAGCAGGAAAGAAGGCTTGGAAAAGTTAACACTCATAGAACATGGTGAAGCAGCTAATAACTTACCTGATTAGCTTGTGTAAATGGTGGGAAGAACAGGGATTAGGAGAGATAGAAAAAAGACAAATGGGCTAAAAGGACAGGAAGTTGTGGAGAACTATAATAATATTACAATAATATATTATTTTTATCCTTACTCTTACTTCTCCATAATATTAATATAGTTGTATATCTGTTAATTTTTTAAAAATCTGTTTTATAAAGCCATAATAAAATTTTATACACCCACACACTTTCACATTATTTAAATTTTCCCTAAGTATAAATTCTTTGGTGTAAAAATTATCAACTTTGTTTAAGAATATGAACCAGGCTATATTTGAAAGTGTGGCCCTGCTAAATTTGAAACTTTCTTTATATTTACTCAGCTTATTTTGAAATTAACTGGAAAAATATTAAACCAGTGAAATACAAAATTTGCAGGCACTGCCTAGCAGTGCTGGGTTAATGTGTTTTTATTTATTTTTATTTCATTTTTTTATGTGGATGAGGTATGTGTGAATAGGCTAACAGTTATTGGCACAGAATGTAAAATTGTGTTAAAATACCAGCCTAGTCTGTTGCATATAATTTTACACTAATGCACTTGGGAAAGAAAGAAATTGCTCTCTTCTCATCCAACTATAGGGTTAAATAGTAGTGTGGACTGGGCTCTTTAGGCTTGGTTGTTAGCCAGTCTAGGAGAAGGAGAACTCTTAATTTAAAACTGTGGCAAACTACTTCACTCTTATTCCCAAGAAGTCATGCCTATTCACAGATAATAAAACGAAAACAGTGGAGAGTTATCAACAAGTGACATGCAATATTAATTTGAGTTTAATTTAATATACTGTATTTTACAGTATTTTGTTCGATCAATTCTTCCTTGGGTAATCATTTCTTGGGTACACCATCTTGCCAGGAACTGTTCAACTTGCAGTGTTTCTCTTTTGTAGCTTTTACTGTTCTTTGTCAGGTGTGCATATGTGGGGGCATCTATGCGTGTGAGTGTCACGAGGTGATAAGTCAAGTAACATGAGATATGCAGTGCAACAATATTTTTGGAAAGTGTTGTCAGATAAAAGGATAGGGAGGATGGGTGTGGGCACTGGTAAGATTTCATGTCATAAATGTTTGCTAGGTGTGTCTGGTTACGATTTCAGAACACTTATCAGTCATGCCAAATTTCAATTCTTTCACAACATTTTTAAAGAGGAAGGCAAGAAAGAAAAGGCCAGTTACTGATTCATTGAATTTGCTAATGTTAACAGTTTACCTGCATGACATAAATACAAAAGTGTTCTAAGATTTGGAATAAGATAGCAAAGAATTTCTATTTCTTTTGAAATGGTAGTTTATCTCATGTGGCGGCAGAACAAAAGCCAAATACAAGACCTTAAAGTTTATGAAACATTTGGTAAAATTTAAAATAAGATCATCCTTCCTTCCTTTGTCTTACTTTCCTTCTCCCCTTTTCTTTCTTTTCTTCTCTCTTTGTTTTTCCTTCTTTTTCCCCGTTTTGTCTTTCCTTCTTTTCCTCACTTTATCTTTCCTTCTTTTCCTCACTTTACCTTTCCTTCTTTTCCCCACTTTGTTATTCCTTTTTTCCCCCCTTCTTTGCCTTTTTTTTGTTCCCTCTTTGTCTTTCTTTCTTTTTCCCCTCTGTCATTCTTTTTCTTTTCTCTCTTTTCCTCCTTCTCTCCCTTGTCTTTCTTTCCTTCCCTCTTTGTTTTTCCTTCATTCTTCCCCTCTTTGTCTTTCCTTCTTTTTCCTCCCTCTTTGTCTTTCCTTCTTTTTCCTCCCTCTTTGGATTTCCTTCTTTATTTCCTCACTCTTTGGATTTCCTTCTTTTTTTCCTCCTTGGATTTCTTTCTTTTCCCTCCTTTTATCATTCCTTCTTTCTCTCCATCTTTGTCTTTTCTTCTTTTTCCCCTCTCTTTCTTTCTTTTTGTTCTCTTTCTTTTCCTTCTCTCTCTTTCTTTCCTTCTCGCCTTTGTCTTTCTTTCCTTCCCTCTTTGTTTTAACTCCCCCCTTTGTCTTTCCTTTCCCCCTGCTCTTTGTCATTCATTCTTTTTCCCCCCTCTTTGTCTTTTCCCTCCTTGTCTTTCCTTCTTTTTTCCCTTCTTGTCTTTCCTCCTTTTCTCCCCTCTTTGTGTTTCCTTCTTTTTCCCCTCTCTTTCTTTTTCCTCTCTCTCTTTCTTTCTCTCCCTTGCCTTTCTCTCCTTCCCTCTTTGTTTTTCTCTTTGTCTTTCTTTCATTTCCCCTTTCTTTCTCTTTCCTTCTTTCACCCATTGTCTTTCCTTCCTTTAAAAGAATGTTTAGTCCAAAGGAAGAGATGTTCTGAAGCTATTCAAGCAAATTTCTGTGGCATGAGCAAATGTAAAATATCCAGAAAATTCAGTTTTACAAAATTTTTAATTATAGTTACTCATTTTAACGTGTCTATTGAACTTTTCTTGTTTTATAGTTCAGGGATTTTTATAATTTTAAGGGTCTGAAATGTTACTTCTTGTAATCTTACTTTTTGCCTATCTCACAATGCAAATTTTTTCTAAGCTCTATACTAAACATTAAATCTGTTACGAAAAAAGAACTAAACAAAATGAACACAAAATGATCAGCTTTAAAAAAGGACTCGTAACTGGAAAAACCGAATGAAAAAAGAATGTTAACAACAAATACTTTTTCACACCCAACCCAGTTCTGCGGAATCAGAATCAACGTTGAGTTTGAGCAAGCGAATGAGCCAATTGGAGTAAAGTGCCATGCAGATTTAAATTTTTCCCACTTGTGACGGATGCAGCTACTGATTTTTTTGCATGCTAGCATGCTAGTTAACATTCGTGTCAGTCAGCTGTTGTCTTTCACAATGGCCAATAGAATCTTCCTGCCTATTCATGGCAGCCAGCTATAGGCTCTCACTCTGGCCAGTAGAAAATGGCCGCAAACTACATGAAAACTGCCGTAGAAGCATGAAAAAGTCGATTATTTTCACGATTGATGGATGTTGGGAAATGCAAAGTTGGTCTTGGCCTTTGCACTAACTGGGAGCATGTGCATGTAAATTTTGGTGCAAATCCATCGAAAATTGCGGCTGTGCATTCGTTACACACACACACACACACACACACCCACACACACATCCTGCCTTTTATAGATAGAGACAGATGTAGCCGTAATTTCTATTCTAATAGTTTTTTTTTTCTTGCACTTCTTGCCTCTAGAACTCTCTTTTGGTTTCTTGTTTCCCTGCCAATTATGATCTTCAAAAATTTAAATGCAACATCAATCACAATCTTCTGTCTTCCTGAAACCTGTTCTTTTATTGTCCTTTCACCTCACTAAAGTTTTCTTATTCTCTTCCACTTCCAGTAACACCTTGGGATTTATTTACATTATTGCCTTGCTTGGGATGAAATAATTTTAAAAAGAATTTTCTTTATAAATGGTCAATAATAAATATTTCACTATAGTTAGATATTTTTTATAATCTTGTGAATATAAAATAATTTTTATAGTGAACTATAAGAATATTTTCATAATTTTGTAAATAAATAATTTATGGTTGTTGTACCTAAATTAAATTCTGTACTTTTGTAAAACATTCTTACTGTTCTCTCATATTTCTTTTATAATCTTGAAAATATATAATTGAATAAATAGTGTCTAACATTTTTGTTGTCATGTCTCAAGAAAAATGTATATTCAATTTCATATGTTTTGATTTTATTAAAATGAGAAATATAACTTTTTAAAATAATAAAAATTTCTTAGGGAGTCTACAGTTATGTTGTCTAAAGAAAAAATGTCCTTTTGTAATACTGTATCTTTTTTTTTTTTTTTTTGCCTTGTTGTATGTTAAACTTTGTCAAACATTTATTGCATAGAAATAAAATGGTAAAAAACTTGACTGGGTAAAGGTACACCTTTCAGTGACAAGAGAGCCAAAATGTCTACATTTTAAAACAAAAAAATTATATCTTACAAGCCTGGATGTTGGTCATTGGTAGGTGTAGGAAAAGGGAAGAGGGGGTTTCTTTAGACACCTTGGGTTTTTGAAAGGAATTGGTCAGTTGCTGGTGCTGCTGTAAGACTGCTGTGTATTTCTTTTTCAATGTGCCATGTTGCTTCAAGACATGGGCAATCATAGCTCTTCACAACTTCCTATTATATGTGGCTCTTGGCGGCATTTCTCCTCTTGCTAAGCCTCCTCCAAGAGTTAAGTTTTCTAAACCCTCATTCCTCATTATGTGAGGGCTTATGTCCACATCATAAGTAGACACTAGCTCCTGTATGATCACTGAAGTTAAGCAATATCAAGCTTGCTCAGTGCCTAGATGGGTAACTGCTTGGGAATAACAGGTGCTTGGAATTGTTAATCGGATAGCTGAGCTCCAATTCCTGTCTGGTTCATTATATTCACTTACGTGCATATAACCCTGGAAAAGGTATGAATACACCACTTCTCACCCATCTGTGGGTTTAATTAGAAAGGCTTGTATCACTAAAAACATTATTATCTCCCTACACCCCTAAAAAATAAAATTGCATACAAAATATTTAGATTTTGGCGTTAAATAACCCATAGAGGTTAATATGCCCCTAAAGAAAAACAACTAAACAAAATTCTTATATGTTCAAGAAATATTAGCTCTTTCTCCCTGATTCTAAGTATAAGCATTCTTTTTGTTATCATTTTTTTTCAGATTTGCTTACTTGATTCATCCATGAAATTCTCAGTATCCTTCTGTAGAATCATATTTCTGTTGCTTCCAGTTTCATCATCTGTGCAGAGATTGTCCATTATTCAGTGTCATATAAGATGATTTATATCACATAGCATTTCCTCACTCTTTTCTTGGTTTCTAACAAATTTTTATTGTTTTTCAGTACTTGGTTTAGCTTTTGGAATGCATCTTTTGTTAAAACAATGTCTATTCAGATTTCAGTGTCACATTTTCCATCTTGGGGCCTAAACTCATGACACTTGTTATTATTTTTTTGATCTCCTGTATTCAACTGTAGAAACTATTATCCAAATTAAAGAGACATTCTTTCATTCTATGAGTTAATCACTTTATCAAATTGATTGATATAGAAGTTAATCAATTTATAAAATTAGGCAAATTAGCATGTACAAATTAAATTAGCAAACATAGATTATTTTTTCTTGTTATTTTTGTCTCTAAAAATGTTTTTAACAAATTAAACTTTAGCAGAGTTGAAAAGCATAGATTGACTGATTAATTTGCTTTTTATAACTTATCAACACTTAGTGGGTTATTTAAAGCTGAAACATATTTTTGAATAAAAGAATAATTCTTGTTTTTTTGTGTGTGTGTGTTTTTTTTTTTTTTTTGAGTGAATATTGCATTTACAATTTTTGTGAAAATAACAGGGATTTTTTTCAGATGCATCCTACTATTTAGTCCATAGCTGGGGGAGAGGAGATAAATTCATACCTTTTCCAAGAGTATTTATACATAACTGAATGCAAGGAACCTGGAACTCAAACTCAGTTCTTCATTTCTCATTCCAAGTTGCTATAAGAGTTCCAAACTTGTTATTAGACAAACTCCAACTTGGGAATTCACTTATATAAGAACAAATTTTGCAATTGTGTTGAATGCGCATTAGTACAGATGAAAAAGTGACCTTGGATCAAATTCAGAGATATTTGTCAACACCAGTTGCATCTGGGTTTTCCCCTGTTAGCAGTAGGACAGATTGGTATATCTAGTGAAATATGGACCTCTCTGTAATTGGTCAAGATCTAGATCTTTGTCAGATGCCTCATGCCAATAAAAGCTCGTGGCGGGGGGCAGTAATCAGCAAGACACAGTGTCGTGTGAAGTCAGCCAAGTAGGCATTTTGTTCCTCCATTTGCTGTGGTTTCCAAGACAGTATTTTTTTTTTGTTGCCTCCCCTTTCTCCCTATTATCCGCGTCATTGTTGGGAGAGCAATTTGTTTCCTTACAATCTCAACAGACTCTTTGCTTACATTACAGCAGCAACATTATGAATTAGGAAAAAAAATTAAATTACATTTTAATTACGAACGATAGGAAAAAGAAAGTACAAAAAGTTTTTTGATTTTATTGCATCTCATTTCACCATATTTTCTCCCAGCCACACCCTGTTCAAACACTAGTTCCTGTACAGTCACTGAAGTTAAGCAATGTTGAGTCTGGTCAGTACCTAGATGGGTGACTGCTTGGGTATTCCAAGTGATGTGAGCTTGGATATGTGGGTGGTGTAATAGATAATGGCTCAGATTTGTTAATTAGACAGTCAAGTTCCAATTCCAGTTGGGTTCATTATATTCATTTACATGCAAATACCCTTGGGAAAAGTATGAATCCATCTCTTCTCACTCCTGCTATGGGTAAGACTTGCATCACTAAATTAATATTATCACAACAACAAAAAAATTGTGTACCAAATATTGAGATTTTGGCATTAAATAACCCATAAGGGTTGATATGCCACTAAACAAAAAAAAACAACCTTTATGTTTTCCCTTATCCATCATTATTTTTTTTTCTCCATTGCTATTGAATTAACAAACTTTTGAATTCAACTCTTCCTTCTCAACTTGTTTAATTTATAATATGCTTACACCCTGTTACTTATCAGTGTTGAAAAATTGAGAGTGAATTTAGTTTTACCATCCCGACTTTTTTGGTCATTACTTAATATGAATTCTTTCATATTTTATGTTTTTTTTTGTTGTTTTTTCTTTTTCTTTTAATTATACTTTACAGATTAATAGGAGTAGATAGCCTTACCTATCATCTGGCCAACATTCCTTCCATGTTGAACAGGAGTAGAGTTTCATCCCTTATTCCCTGTTCAGGATTTGTTTTACCAATTCTCTTTTTTTCTCCTATCAGGGCTAGAATGATTTAACTGTCTTTGGTGATCAGATTAACCAATGTCTGCAACTTTCCTTTAGGAGAGTACTGGGTTGGCAGTTTGCTGGCTGCTGCTTACAACTGGCTGATAGGAGGCCAAACTCTTTGGTAGTGCTTAGAGAGGCTGCTCTGATCAACATTATATGATGTGACTGTCGATCTGCAGCAGGGGTATCTGCAGCAGTGCCATGTCACGCATGGCTAAGTGTCCCTGCATGTATGTCTGGTGGGCAACCCTGAAGTCATATTATTCTCAGTTCTCAGCCTTACCCTGGCCGGTTTGTATTACCATTGATGACAGATAGTGACAGTTATAGTGGTCCTTAAAATGAATCTCATGGAAAATACAAAAAAAATGAAATACAACTAAACCAGTAAACAAAAAAACACCTACCC